CTCCAGGTAGTTCTTGAACTGAGGATTATGGTTCCCAAGGAAGGTTGGGAGGTGGCTTCTGCACTGAGCTCCTGGCAGGTGATGGCAGGAGCTTCCATGGGGGGAGCAGCTGGTGTGGAGGGGCAGTGCATTAGGGTTCTGGCCACATCAGGCATCCTCCCCATGGATGTCACCCCTGAAGACCTTCAAGGGTCATGGGGAGCAGGGCAGGGATTTTTTTTCTGGAGCTCCATCCAATAGCTGGGTGGGACCTGGGCATAGCTCAGTATGTTGGGCCTCAACTGCATCCTAATTCACCCATTGGCCTGTGAAATGTGGGTGCTGATGCCTTCCACCCCATAGCTACAGCTCATGTACAGTGGCACAAAATTGCTGGTTAAAAGTGAAGAATCTGCTTGGACCTTGACTACTTGGGTTTCTGTCCTGGCTCCAGCGTTTACAAGCTGTGTGATCATAGCTTTTACTTAAACTCTCTGTATGCAGCTATTTCATCTGTAAAAGGAAGATAAGGAATAGCAGCTTTGAGATTTAAATTATTCTAGAATTAAATGCTCAGAACTTTGATACATAGTAAATACTAAAATAACGTTAGATTCTAATTGCATTATTAATACCTTTTCTAGAAACAGGGCCACTGCATGTAGTCCCTGTTGCTTTTAGTAGTAGCTGGCAGAACTCAATAACCATGTCCCACGAATGGCCTCTGGTAAAGTCGTCTGGGGTTTTGGAAACAGGGGTCCACTTTAAACTTCTCTCCCTGGTAGAACTGCAGCTGGTCACCTATCCCAGCCAGCTGACCCTCCATGGTAAGCTGTGCTGGCCTGTGATATACAGGGCTCCATGTATCTTATCTGAAACCTTCCCTCCTCTTCTAACTTTCCTTCTGCACTGACTCCATCATTCTTCTATGAGCACCCACTGCGTACAGTAATCTCCATGGAAGATATAAACTGGTGTGCTCAGGGCTGACTCACACAGAGATGCCCAGCCATGGTCCTAGCCCAGGGAGCCAAGAGGAAGGCAAACAGGGGCAGAGCCTCTCAAACAATCTGCAAGGACAGGGTGCTGTGGGAACACTGGAGGAGTGCCAACTCAGCAGGGGGACAGAGGGAGGCTGTACGGAGCAGAGAGGGTATCACTGAAACCGAGTGTGTGGGACCTGCAGGGAGCAGCATGCGCCAAGCCAGGTGGTGGGGAGGACGGGATGAACTTGGAGAGCACTGGGAGAGGAACTGTTGAGAAACGATTTCCATGTTGGAGACATGGTCAGGGACCAGATCCCAAAGGCCTTTGTCAACAGTATTGTTGACCTTTATCAAAAATAACCAGGGAGACATTGAAAAATTTCCAAGGCAGGGAGAGAAGTGGCTATTTTTGTGGTTGCAGGGAAGAGAGTAGAGTGGAGGGGACAGAGATGTAGGTGGCAATAGTCCTGATGAGGGCCTGGGCCAGTGTGGAGCCATGGGATGGAAAGAGGTAGGCAGGATTGGTAAGGAACAGTCACCAGTCTTGGTGCGTGAGGAAGCCGGTGTAAGGGAACCTCATGGTGACCCGTGACCAGCATGTTCCACCTGTGCTTAACACACCCAAGCGCCTCCTGCTCTGCACCTGTGGGCGACTCCCTTTGGCCACAGTATTACCTGTGCCTCCTTGATATGAGCCTCTCAATTCACAGGGCCCTGCTCAGACCACCCTCTCAGCTCCTGCTAGAGCCTGAGTGTGGAAAGTGAGCTCACTGTAGTCTTCCACATGGTGCCTCAGGCCCTGTTGCAAAGCAATTGTCCAGAGGTGCCTGACAGGAGGAGGGAGGGAGCCCTCAGCACACAGAAACTCCAAGCCGTTGAGTTCATAATGTCTTTTATTAATATATTATGCTACAAAAATATTTTTTTGGCAAAATAACATTAATAGCATCTTTCTTTGTCTTCTATTATACTCTTAAAGAACTCTCCATGACAATTCACAGCGGCGAGGGAAGAGGTGGTCAAAGAACATTGTGAGCACCTTCCAAATACATCAAGGACTGAAGCCCGCAGGGCATGGCGAGGCAAACTGGGGGGCCATGGGCAGTCTCTGTGGGCTCAGGAAGGGGCAGGGGCTCTAGCCTCTCCTCTTTGGGGCTATAGCCACCTTTGACCAAGAGTTGGCCCCTGCCCACCCCAGCCACCAGGGACCCAAGGAGTCTGAGAGCTATTTGTCTTTGGCCACTCATGGGAGACACCTTAGACTTGGATCCTGTTCAAAACCCACTTTCCCTACAGCAAGACTTGAGGTGGAAGGGGCCTGTGAGGCCTGCTACTCTGTGGTCTTTCTTGTCTGCTACATCCCCTGCCCCCGTGCGGGAGTCATGGTTCCTGGGAGACAGCTCAGCCTGGAGCCTGAAGGAGCTGAGCTTCACTTTCATGGATCCCCATTCCAGTCCCAGAAAGCAAGATCTCCATGTGACAGATGAGGAAATGGAGGCTCAGGGAGGGGCAGGGACTTGCCCAAGGTCACCAGCAAGTCGAAGGGGTACCCAGAGCACCTCTGGAGAGGAAAAGCCCAGTTTGCCTTTGAAGAAAGGCTGTGGACAGCTGATACTCCTTGGAAAGGGTCAGGTAGGGACCAGTAAGTTCTTGGGAACCTTCTCTTCCCTTCCAGGGTTGGGGGCGGGAAGAGAAGGAGCTCTGGGCTGGGCCTGAGGGCCTGGGTTCCAGTCCAGCCCCCGACCCCTTCCAGAGGTTCCCATGCCCAGGGCAGCAGGCAACCTTGCCCGTTCATGGGGCCCTGGCTGGGCAGTTGTAGAATGGGATTGGGGCGAGGGGGAGGCTGGACTGAGTCCTGAACCCTACTGGTTTAGACAGCCAGCTGGAGTGCTATTTTTGGCTGCAGAGATGAATTTTTGTAAAAATAACACTGTTCAAAGAACCTGAGCCTTACTGAGCAAAGAGGCACCCTCCATGTCATCTACACCAGTCCTGTGCCAAGACCTCAACTCGCCTACCACGTCTCCCGTCAGTGGGGACCGAACACCTCCACTGACAGGAAACTGCCCCCTCAGGGCACCATCCTCCACCAGCTTGGGCTTGGTGGAAGTTCTCCTTCTTTCCTACCTTCATTCATCTCTCTCTGCTTCCTCCCCTCTCTCTTTGCCTCTCTCTGCATCTGCTGAGAACCACCTTTGTGCCAGAGGGTTCAATTCATGGGACCCCTGCCTGCTACTAGTCACTTTCAGTCTCATAGAGGAACCAATTCACAATGACAGTCACAAGACATGGAAGTGGGTACGTGACAGATGCTGTGAAAGCACAAAGCCATCAGAGGGGGCTTCCTGGAGGAGGGGGCTATCTGGGTTGATCCTCACAGGAGGAGCTGTTAGGGGGAAGAGAAGGGAGTTTCCAGGTCCAGGGAGTAGCAGATGTCAAACATCCTGTTTATTCTAGAAGTGACAAATACAATTCCATCTGGGAGAGATGAGAGGTGAGAGATGAGAGATTCCATTATGGGAGACATGAGAGGTGGCCAGCAAGGTCAGCAGGACCAGATCATGGAGGGTCTAGAAGAACCGATGGAGGACTCTGTCTCTTACCTCATAGTCACTTCAACAACTATCACCAGCCCCGATTTCTGTTCTCGGCCACAAAGGATGCCCCCAAAGATTTAATCCCTGGGTGGAACTCTTCTCCTTCATTCTGCTTTCAATAGACTTGCCTCTTGGTAAAGGAAACTTTTACCTCCACTTTGGGATCTTTTGTGACAGTGGCACGGGGCTGGAGCCTGGGCCTTTAGGACAAGGGGCCTGAGATCCCAGGTTGGTCCATGTCAAGATGAGGTCAGTGATAGAGGCCAGCATTCCATGTAGGAAAATATGCTCTGGGTCTTTCATTGTAAGGATAGATTTGCACACAGGCAGCACAGGGTTCCACTCATTATAGACTCCAGATCTTTGACCCTTGGGGTTGGAGTGTCCCTGGGCCGCCCTTTGCCACTCCCTGGCAGTCTGATTCTTACATATCCACCATGGATGATGGGGTTCTTCACCTGGTTCTTGGTGCATCAGACCAGCCACCAGAGGATGATCAGAAGAAATGGCCTCTGTGACCTTCCCCAGAGAGCTCCTAGCCATTCCATCATCTTTCTTGAGAGATAGGTGACACCATTAGCATACCCTAACCCTACCCTGCCTACCCTTAATCTTCTGGATCTCAGGTCTTCATCTTTCCTGCTTGCTTCAAGGTGCCCAAGAAATACACACAAAGATCTCAGAGGAATAGGGCATTTTATAGGCTAGGGGAATAGAACGTTCCAAAGGTGGCTGCTTATAGAATAGTAGTTCTGTGGCACAGGATGAGAGAATTCAAGTGCCCCAGCCATGCAGATTCCTGTTTATGAGCTCCAGGTCTCAGGTGACATAGTCATCAGGTTCGGTTTGGTGGCCTTGGGGACCCATGAACTCTAACTCTGGATGTCTGACCCACATTGGCCCTGGCTCTCCTCTGGCACATGTCTACCTAATCTGTAGTCTACATTCGCCTTTTTATAAACACATGACTGGTTGAGGGAGAGTTTGAAATCGCCCTCTGGTCCAGTGGAAGGATCTGGAAAGATGAGGGCTGAATGGACCTGAAGTCAGGAGCCAGCAGAGCACCAGCTGGATGGGGCTGCCCTTCCCATCTTGATAGTGAGTCTCTGCAGACGAGGAAGGGTGGTTACATTCAGCCCCAAGTGCTGTGAGCTGGGCCCTGCATGTGCTCTGTAATTACATGCTGCGTTAATTCACCTTTTTGGCCCTGTTCCTGGCACAGATCTGGGCACAGTCAGGTGCCTGGACTGTTTCCCCAAATGCTTCATCTTTAATTAACCTCAAGCTCAATCTCCATCATCTCATGCCATTCTCTGCCCCAAACAGAGGGGAATCTGGCCTGTGTGTTTCTAATTCCTTTACACTTATCTCATCCCAATAGCGCTCTGCACGATCCGTTTGATGTCCAACTTCTGAGTCTGCTTTATAAGTCAGCTAAGCCCTTTCCTGCTCAGAAATAGGAAGTCACTTTTTTTTTTTTTTTTTTTTTTGCCAAACATAAACTGACTCCAGTCCTGGCTGAGGTCAAGTTCAGTTTAGAGCTTGGTGCCCATGGGGCTGGGATGGACTCTCTGAAGCAGAGATCCTAGCTCCTGCCAGGTCTCAGGCTCAAACTCGTCCGCTGGGACTGAGCTAGAAAGAATTCAGTTGCCTGCCAGGATGTCAGCGAAACCTCTGGCCATCCAACAAGTGGTCCCAAATTTTGCTGCCTCAGAACAGAGACAGATGTCAAACTGGGCCTAATGACACTGGGGCCAATCAGATACCTCCAAGTCTGCCAGGAAAACTATATATAGAGAAGCTGAGTAGCACTGGGCTGGAGTCAGTAGGCCTGTCTAGCTGTGTTGCCTTGGAAAAGTGTCGCCCTCCTCTGGGCCTCATTATTGCTCTTACTATTATTATGATTTATCAAGTGAGAGTTTTTTTTTCTTCCCCCCTTTTGCAAGATCTAGGACTCTGAATATAATTAGTGAGCCCCAGATCAGCTGAGAGGTCAGGGCTCAGAGTCAGCCTACCTGGGTTCTCTGTCTCTTGAGCCACCACCTTGGGTACAGAGGGGTTGGCTAAGTCTGTCTTAGTCTCAGCTGCCTGCCTGTCCCCACATCGCTGCTCTGTCTTTCAGGGCCCTCCTGGTTGTACCCCACTTCCAGCCTCTGGTTTGGCAGGAAAGTCTCTCCTTGGCTCCAAGATTTGACAAGTCGGGGCATAGGACACGTAGCACATGCTGTTGCCTAAGCTCTTAGGTCATAGAGACCAATAGGAATAACTAGTCAAATGGTCACTCGGCTGTCATGGGAAGGGTTGTACCTTGGGCATGTCCCAGTTTGGTGAGCTCTGCCTCCTTTAGAGCTTCCCTGGGCAGAGAGAACATGGACCGCAAGACAAGAATCACTTTTGTGTCACACAGATCTAGAGTTGGGTGACCTTGCCCAAGTTCCTTCACCTCTTTGGGGGTGGGGCTCAGTTTTCTCATCTGTGAAATGGAAATCATCACATCTCAGCACTGGCATGAGGATCCGTGATGAAGTGAATGTGTCAAGTGCCCGCCATGCTGTAGGATTTGGACAAATGGCAGCTCCATCACCATTGTCATTATCATAACAGGTGACCCCTAGATCCCTGTCCCTGAAATTGCCTTCTATACCCATTTCTTTCTTTAAGCCCAGTTGGTTTTACTTAGCCGAGTCTTCAACAGCCCTTCTTTAACCCAAGCTGGAACAACAGTGCCAGACAGAGGCCCGGAGACCTGTGTTTTGCTCTCCCATTGGCATCCCGATCTTGGGCAGCCCCAACTCGCTCCCTTTGGATCTCACTGTGGCATCTTCTCTGTGGCACTGGGAACACCTCCCTCCGCACCCCTGCACTTTGGTTGAAATACTCACCGAGAGGTCTGGAGGGCCAGTTCACAGACGCTCAGGGGTTTTAAAATAGCAGCATTCTTTTTCTCAATGTGTCTTCCAGGCCCCGGGATGCATCCAGGGGAGGGAAGGATGGCCAGCGTTCACACTTCCGGCTCCCCAAATCCAGCTTCACAAAAGCTAAGCCTATTTGCTTGCCCCACCCTCGGAGCTCCCGCAGTGGGAGAAGCCAAGCTAGAGTCAGGAGGCTTCTGCCATCCAGGAGCAAGCCGGTTGACAGCCACGGTCCACACGAGGTCATAGATGTCTTGACAACCGGGGATCCCCACCCCTGAGGTTGATGATGTTGGGGCTACTTCAGGAGTTATAACATAGGCCACATAAAAATAGTTTTATCGGTAGAATAAATACATTTTTCTCTTTTAATATGGACACATATTTTACAAAAGAGCCCCATAGCACTATGGGAAATTAAGACCTTCTACAAAAAAGAAGATGTAACTTGGGTAAAATAAAGCTCTAGTGTTCTAATGGGTCCCGACTGGACTGCCCCAGAGCGGTGGGGTGTGGCCGAGGACCCTCGTGTTGTTTCTCTGGCTTCTGCACGGGGTGGCGGAAGTCAGGAGGGCCCCAGGTTGTGCAGCAGGAAGGGGGCCACCACAGTGGCGGTGAGGATGGGGAGGAGGCCCAGGGTGGGCGCTGAGCTGCTGGCGGGCCCTGCTGGGTCCTGCTGCTGGGGCTGGTCCGAGAGCTGGAAGGGGGTCTTGGCGGTCCCAGAGCTGGGGGTGGGCTGGAGGGGCAGCAGGGGTGGCGAGGCGGTGGTGCTGGAAGGGAGGAAACACACAGTAGAGTGACCATCAGAGCCTCGCCCTGGGGCTTGGACTGGACTAGATTAAAAGGGGGAAGGAAACAGGGGCGTGGAGAGGGAAGATGAGCTGCCCAGGTGAGCTCTGGAAGTCCCACTCTCCTGTGCCAGGTGTCAGGCCAGATCACCTATCACCGTTCACAGGACTGGGTCCCAGGCAGAAAGAGGTACAGTGCTAGGAAGGAGACAGCTCTGGGGTACATAAAGTACTGAGCCCCCACACCAGGCCATAGGTGCCCCTGCCTCCTGCTGCTTCCCCTCCCAGCTGCTGAGAGACAGAAAATGAAGCACGCTACCGTTTTTATTGTGCACATCACTACACCACCATCTGTCAAACACCCCTTAGCCGGGCACTTTAAAAGCCATGTTTCTGGTTCTCGAAGCAAAACCTTCAAAATGGGTCTCCTTTTCAGCACTTTAGGAAACTGAGGCTCAGAGAGGCTACCTGATGGCCAAGCCACAGGGGAAAGTGGGGTGGCATGACCATGGGGCACGAGGCCCAGCTCATTTTGCACAGCACAGAGTGACAGGTGCCATCCTCCATGAACTTATGAAAACAGAGACCATTTTCAGAGGTAAACCAGTGAGATTCTCGCCTCATGAAAGCCTGTGTGGCAGAGGAGGAGGGAAACAGGGAGGGAGACAGGGAAACAAGGGGAGACAGGCAGGAGGACTCTGCAGGCTGAGCCCAGCCCATGGGGGCCTTGGGAAGCTGGAGGGGGGAGGGGGGCCCAGTGGAGCTCAGGACCAGGAAAGAGACAGATGGGAAATGGATGAAAACAGAGGGAAAGGTAGGGACGGGGAGGAGAGGAGGCAATGACAGAGGATGACAAAGAGACCACAGGGGAGAAGTCTGATAGATCAGTGGAGAAGAGGAGCAGGCACTGCGATGAAGGAACGGGCCCCAAGCAATGATCAAACCTGCTTACAGGGAGCTGGGTGAAGATGAGAACAAAGGAACCCACAAACCCCATCACACCCAGAGGGGGAAGGCAGGGCCTGTGTGCAGCAGGAGCACAGAGAGGCTGTGTTCAACCAGGAAGGTCTTGAGGGAGTGGGGACATTGCAGCCAGGAAGATTTGCTCATGGGGAGGGCATACCTAGTAGTTGAGGCAAGTACCCACAGGGCCCTGCTCCTGTGTGAAGCACTGGCCATATCTTAACCTTTGTATGCAGGATGGCACTAGGAGGTAGGGGCCACCGTTACCCTGTGTACTTAGGCAGTTATTAGCAGGTGGGCAGCTAGGAGGCTCACCCCTCCCTGGGCAGCCTATGGGGCAGGCTGGTAGATGTGAGGCAGGGCAGTTTGCACAGGTTCTGTGCATGGGTAGCCTCTTCCATGTGGGTCACTGCCTTCTTCCTGATGTCTGCCTCCATCCCTGACAGGCTGCTGTCATCTGGGGGTACCCCTGGCCTATGTTTCTTTGCGCTGGGTCATTAAGACCATGGCAAACCCTGGAATAATCCCCAGCAGAGCCCCATCCTGGCTGAGAGCCTCCCACACAGCTCAGACCCAGCCTCCAGGAAACCTAGGGGTCAGCAAGCACTCCCCTGTCTCCATATAGGTTCAGGATGACACCTTAGCTTGAGAGTGGGAATCCAAATGGCTTTTGGGTGCCAGTCCAGGCCTTCTGGATCTCAGGACAGGAAAGGGTCCTTACCCTCCCTGGCTCTCCCTCCCCATGCTGCCCTCATGCTCAATCTTGCTCAAGGTCTCTTTCCAACCTGGAGCCTACAGATGGGATGTACCAGAACCTTGGTCTTTGGAAAGTCCCAGAGGAGCTATCGTGAGAGGAGAGAGCAAAACCTTGTCTCACCCAGAGGACAGAGGCACAGCTTTCCTGCAAAGCGTGCCTGTGGAATTGGGTGGGCCAATGGCTTCCAATGCTCCTTTTAACTCTCGGAATCCAGTGTGCCTTGCCTCCTGTGGGTGCTGGCTTCTCGCCACCAGAGACCCATCATGATCTGTTCCCATGAGGGTGACTTCACCTTTCACAGTTTCCCTACACAGTGCCTCTTCAGTCACACCCTCTGCCTTACTGTCATTGTCCCATTCACCTTCAAAGGCCTGCCTCTTCCCTGGAGGACTTCTTTGATCTGTCCTGTATCCCTCGATGCCATCTGGCAGAGTTAAGGTTCCACAAAACCTTGTGCACCTCCCATTGAACTCAGTGAGTGGTAGAGACATATTATCTGAGGTTTGAATGGGTTTTGATGTGTCTTAGGATAATGCCTGGTAGCCAGGCAGCGGCAGATGGTGGGGGCTAATTTAAGGGCAGTGTTCTATTTGTGCCTATGTCTCCACCACCAATGACATCTCTTATTGATGAGCCACGCTATGTGCCGGCAGACGGTGTGCTTGAAGCAACCACCTGCATCACGTTCTTTTAAATTCCCACTTCCAGGATGAGGAAACTGAGGTTGAAGGAGATGAGGCTTCCTACAAAAGATAGGATGTGCAGGGGTCGTCTGTCCCCTCCAGCCCAAGCTGCCAAGGCACTGTCCCTGCCTGAGGTGTGAGCCAGCACACGATGCACAGCCTGGGGAAGTGCTGTCTTCTTGCTGAGACCTCGCACAGCCCTGGGTGGAGACTGCCAGGGTCGACTGAGGCCCTGTAAGGCCTCAGCTCCTGGAGGGACCAGTGTCTGTGTCTGGCAGGGCCATTCACTCAGCCCCTCGCCTTCCTTTCTTTTCCAATGAAAAGAAAAACTAAAACCAAAAAACACACACAACACAGAGTCCATAAAAATTCCTTCCTAGCTGCTGCCCTGTTGTTCCAGCCTGAACAGCGGGGAGGCTCAGAGAGCTGGCTCTGGGCAGCGGGCTGGTGTGCCCTGGGAGGCAGTTGGAGCCGGGACCCAGGCTGGCCCCGGACGGAAGGCAAAAACCAAGTAGGAGTTATGAGAACTAGTCTCACCAGGCGCCCGAAGGCATTTTCTTTCACACTTTGAAAACTCCCCCTTGGAGCCTGAGTGGGGTTTTTATTGCTTGGAAGGAGTCCCAGGGAAATGAGGTGGGACTGGGGAGGGGGATGAGCCCCTCCAAATGCCCCTACCTCACCTCCCCAGCCCACTGTGTTCACAAAACTCAGTCCGTCCCCGCACCCCACCCCGTCCAGATCCCTGCCCGCCACCCCCAGGCTCATGCTGGGGAAAACTCTCTCATGGCAAAGCGGCCTTGGGGCCAAAGCAAACACTCTGAGCATTCCCAGGCTCCACAGATGCCTGGCACCAAAGGCAGGTCTGCTCTGGGTAGACAGGGCCCCTGGAATGGAAAGAGTCCCTCGGCCAGGGTGGAAGGTAGAAGCCCTGCGCTGGCCTGGGCTGTGTTCCTGTCTTGCTGTGTGACTTGGGCAGGCGCTGTCCTCAGGCTCAGCCTTCCTGTCTATACAATGAAGGAGCAGGAACCCGGGATTTTTAAAACATTTTCCAATGATAAAAACCAGAAGGATGACCTTAGGCAGAAGCCCAGGGCGGGAGCACAGAAAAGCAGAGACAATGTCGGCTGTTGACCCGAGTCTCCTCCAAAGGGGTCCCTGGAGCAGAGGCAAACTTTAGCACTAGAGGTCTCTGAGAGCCATCTGGGGCGAGGCGCTGGGCAACTCTTGCCTTGGATTCCTTGCTGATACAAGGGCCTGGTGCCTATGCCTGGGGAGCTCCTTAGAAAGCTTCATGGAGATGTAAGGAAGACCAGCTTTGGGGCATACAGGGCCTGGGTGATGGGAGACCTGCCACCTGAGGAAGAGACCCCATTGTGGTTCTGGTTTGGGCTTCTGCCTCTCTGGCCAAGCAAGAAGACCTAGGCAGAGACCCAATGTGTCCAGTGTGCCTGCAGCTCCATTTCCTGGCATCTGGGTCCTGCCAGCTTCACACCTTTTCTGCATAGTCTCTTATGCTGGGAACACCTTCATTCCTCCTTTAGCCTGTGGACTGGCATGTTTTCAAACAGCTTCATAGCAGACCATAGCTGGAAGGGCCTGTCCGTCCCTGAGATGAAAAACTGGGGCTCAGAGAAAAGAGGTTTACTTAGGAGCTGAGGCTCAAGGGCTCTTTCAGTGATACCATACCGAGGAGCCATCTGTCCCTGTCCCCCAGCAACACTAACCACAAGACTGGGAAACCGGTATGTGCCGAAAATGTCCCTGAGAGCCTGGGGGGAGTTCACAGCACTCTCTCGGTGGCTCATTTAATTAAAGCTTTTAGTCTAAGACATGCTACAGCATTTCAGGCAGCAACTGGGGAGAGCCGGGGATCCCGGACCAGAGACTTGTAAGTCAAAGGATCAACATTAGAGGCAGCTGGCCCAGTGACACTGCTGGTTATTGCTGGTCTGAGGTCAGCTCAGTGCCTATGGGCATCATCTCACTTGATGTCTAAACCCCAGAGCAGATGCAGGGTGGGGAAGAATTTGTACGTTTATTCATTTGGTGATTCTGTTTCTCACATCTTAGGGGGCATCTTCCACCTCTAAATTACATAGGATCTTAGGCTCACATGGAGACTTGGACCATCCCAGAAAAAGATCTGCTTGTGTTAGGAAAAACCAGAGCCCAAGAACTTGGGCAGGAGGGGCAGGCCGACAGGAGGTGTGAAGAGCCCCCCAGGATAAGAACACTGTGCTTCCTCCTCTCTTTGAGGGCTTTGTCCATCTGCTCAAACTTCAGGGGAAACTGAAGCCCAGAGGGCAATGGACCTGGCTCCTATGTGTCCTGCACCCTCTGCACTTGCTTGATGGCACTTGCCAAGCCTCTGCCTCCATCACTTACTGATGCTCCCTTTGGGCAGTCTTGCCTTGGCCCTGCCCAGCGCTCAGAAGGTGTCCTCTTCTCTACAGAGTGGGTCAGCCACTCTGTTCCCTTATTGATACAATCCTCCACCCCGATATATGCTCCTATGTGTGCATAGGTATCTGTGTGCTCGGAGATACAGAGAATAGAGACTTGGAGAATAGAGCTGGCATGACCTCCAAAGACCAGCCAAGGCCCTAATTGCATAGAAGAAGACGTGGAAGGGTTTCCACAGGGCTCACATGGCTTGGGAATGGCCTCTACCTTGGCTTGCCCTGGTCACACCCCACCCTGCTGCCCACCTCTGGCTCTCAGAGGCCGAGGATCCCAGAGAAAGCTCTGTTGCCATGCAGCCATCTGCGGACACACTCTTGGCCCTTTCCATGGATACCCATAAATCATCCTGCCACGGGCTGCTGCTTCTCTAAACTTCCTCTACTGTGTTTACATCTTGGGTAATGAGGGGCGAGGGGAAGCTAGCTTGCTCCAGGTGGCGTTCCGGCCAGGCACTTACAGCCCACACCCCTGGCTCCTCGTGTTCATGATACACTCAGCAAACACCCAGCAAGGCCTCAGGTGACCCAGAGCCGTCCAAATCAGATCTGGTCCCCAGGGCCCCCTGGCCTAGAAATACAAGTAAGGAACCTGTGGCAATGGTACCAGGACAAGAGCTGCCACCAGGGTGCTGGGGGAGGAAGGGCGAGCTCAGCCAGGCAAGGATGGGAAGGACACTCCATGGCAGTGGGTGATGAATGTGACCCTTAGTGTTGGACAGACCTGGATTCAGGTTCTGCCTCTCTGTGACTTTCTGTATGGTCTGAAGGAAGTTCCCTGATTGGCTACATCTGTTTCCTTGCTTGTGAAACTGGCCTGCCTTCTGTGACTCTTGGCAGAAGTAGACCATGATGGATGTCAGCACCTGGCAGAGTGGGAGCTCCACAAAGGCCACTTGCACCTCACCCGGAGCAGAGAGGGAAGCAAGTACAACAGGGTGAAGGGCTGGGCCTGGTGCACTGGGGCCTTTACATGGCCCACGGGGGTTGGACCTGACAGTACCTGGGGGAAGAGAGGCAGCTGGGGAGGCAGGAAAGGCGAGGCTCCTATAACTGGGCAAGTTTTCCTGGCAGTGGGAACCCTGCAGGAGCTCCAACGGAGCAAGAACAATGCAGGAGGGCGAGGCCTGGGGCCAGGGGACCCATTAGGACCCTGCTGCAGGATCCTGGGAGGAAGATGAGCAGGGAGAGTTGACAGAGAGCACTGGGGGGAAAGAAAATGAGAAAACTGAATAAATTAAAGCTCCAAAGAAAATGATTTGATCAAAGGGCTACAAGTGTGTATCAGCTCTCCTCTGCTTCTTCTTGGAAATTTGGGGATCCCTGGAAGGTATGGAGCCTGTGCCCTGCACTGGGCCTCTTGGGGGAGCTCAGGCCCCGCTTACCCACAAGAAGCAGTGAGAAATTTAACAAACAGGCTGCCCTTTGGTGGAAACTTCCTTCTCCAACCTGACCAGATGGAGGAAAGTTGGCCAACCACAATTTACCTGTTGGGATAGAGAAGAGGCTCCCTCTTGCCAAAGAAAAGCTATTTTTCTTGTGAAACTAGGCTCTGTGTTTCAGATGGACATGTTGTGAAAAGGAAACCGTTTGGAGTCATTTGCCCACATTTACCTTTCAGACGTGGTTAGGGGCTGGGGGCCCATGGCTGGAGCTGACAGCCCAGCCCTCTGTCACCTCATGGGTTGGACCCACCTCTGGCGGGACTCCTGGTCACCCTGGATTGTGGACATGAATGCCCAGCCTAATTGGAACTCTTAATGGCTGCCAGCTCTTTCTCTTGCCCCTGCCTTCTTGGCAGCATACAAAACCCTGCCCACCACGGAAGAAAGGCACTCCCTGCAGCTCTCTGCCCTGGCTCCTGATTACACAGGGGTGGCCCATATGTTGCAATAAATATAGCTACAGTGATGCCTCTACCTCAGATAGGTAGGGCCAGGGAGAGCTCGATGGAAGCACATTTCCAGTACACCAAGCCAGGTGCTTTGAAACCCATGCACAAAGGCTACAAAGCTCAACTCATTTTTGTTCCAAGATTTTTTTTTTTTTTAAGATAGTGCACACCCTCCACTTTATGGCTGGGGGCTGATACGTCAACTTTTCTGTCAAAGGCTCAGTGATCGGGCTATGGGAGAACCATGTAGTGGCAAGTGTAGGGAGCAGCCCCTGCTTCCCTGGGTGGCCCTAGACAGAGCCTTCCCCTTGGTTTATCCTCCATAAGTGCAGAGTTGAGCAAGTGTTTCCCAAAGACACTGGGAAGAATCTCCAGGTGCACATTCACACGGGCTTCCCAGGCCTCTGCCCCGAAGATCCTGATTCATTATGTCTGTGGTGGGGCCTGGGGATTTGTTTATTTAACAAGTTACCCAAGGTGCTTCTGTCCAGGTTGCTGAGGAAAATTCTGGATGATATCTTTAGGGTACAGATTGGACTCTGGATTCCAAGGGCCCACTGCTGGGGGCATGGGATCTGGGGTATACTGACAGTCCCTCCCTGAGACTTCCCTGGTATTCTAGGGAGACTATTCTCTGTATATGGAGATGGCTGCTAAACAGGAATGTAAGGAGACTGCTCTGTAGAGACTGCAGGCAGAGGACAGCAGAGAGAGTCTTGGTGACAGCAGAAGTTCTGGTGACGGACAGGCTGAGAGGGAATGGTTTTGGTAGCAGGAGGAACACACAGAAAGAGGACGGAGGGATCTCAGTATGTTAGGACGATCTGTACCTGACCATTTACACAAGGTTTACTAGGACTGCTTTTGAGATGGAGTCCCCAGCATTAGACAGCCATTGTCTGTCTCATCTCTCTCAAAGTGGAGTCCCCTTAGCAGCCTCCGTGCCCAGATGTCACCACTTAGATTTTTCAGGCACAAGGAGCTTTTGGCCTAGCAAGCATGTCCTGTTTGTTACTAGGTGCTCCCTCTGTCCATGGGACAGCTAGAAACTGCTTGGCACACCACAGGTGGCCCAGGGCGGCCAAGTGTAAAGCAGGCTCCTTTGCACCGGAGCTTCACTTATAAAAGAGCAGAGAATTGTTCTTGCTTTTGTCTTGAAACTAAACCTGCAAAATCGGATGTGGATGTGCTCTAAAAACCCCGAAGGAATCCTTTGTGTAGAGGGAAGAGGCAGCCCAGTAGTTTCCACTCTGATATCCCCTGCCCCACTTGCTCAGAGCAAGGCTCGCCTGGTGACCGTGCACCCCACCTTGGGGGCATGGGAGGGAGTGTCCATATCCAGCTCCTGGGCCACCCATCCCTGTCCTCCTCACCTGTCCTCGATGCGGACCCAGAGGTCATTGAATTGCCGCGGTCGCTGGTGTTTATTCTGTCTCTTGTGCCACTTCTTTTGCCGTCCAAACTCCTCCAGCTGGTTGAGGCTGTCAGGGAGCAGGAGGTGCGGGGACAGGGCTGGGTCATCCTCCTCAGGCGGGGTGGTGGGGGTCACTGAGGGTGCTGCAGGGACAGCGGCAGCTGGGGTAGCTGGGGCAGGGCTGGCTGAGGTCCCCTCAGGAGGGGGCACTGGGCTCCCAGCAGCAGGGCTGGAAAGGGAAACAGCACAGGAGCGTGTCATGCATATGTGACAGGGAAAGCAATTCTGTGGGAAAGTCACTGGGGAGGAAAAAAAAAAAATGCAAAGACACCCTGCCCGGCCCTGTGTGAAGAAGCCCAGGAACACCGTCATCTGGTATGAGAGATGGGGCACCGATTCCGCCTTTCACCTATGTCATCAATAAATATATATATTAAGCTCCTACTTGGTACCAGGCACTCTTCTAGGAATTAAATATCAGCACAGACCCAAACAGATACTGTCCCTGCCCTCTTAGAACTTCTATTTCGGAGCAGAAGACAAGGGTCGAACATATAGGACATCAGATGGCCACAACTGCTGAGAAGAAAATAGAGACAGATTAAGAACCCAAGGGAGAGAGGGTGCTGGTCAGGGACCAAAGGGTGACATGTGAGCCTAGACTAGGAGGCAGTGAGGTCTATGGGCATGTCTGATCTCGGTCAAGGTCAGGGCCTCACACATCCACAGATCTGGCTGAGGGACAGCAGGCGAGTTATCTATCTTCAGTGTGCTTCCTTAAAAATGGGGCTATGACAGCCTGTGCCTCGCGGGGCAGGAGAATGATGTAGGTGAACACAGGCACAGCACTTAGAATAGGGCCTGTCTCCTAACGCACCTGTCTCTGATGTTGTCCATCAGCAAAAGGACCTGCCTGTTGGGCAGGCACTGAAGTGTCACGTAGGCATGTCTGTGGAATTCATGGTCCATACAGGGGTACACACATAGGCCCCAGGCTGGGAACATCCTCTGCTCTCCCCACTTTTATTCTCTCTCCTCAGTAGCCTCAGCAGAATTCGTTTTGGGGACATCCAATCCTGGGAGAAGGTTGGGAGTGGTTTCAGGAGCGGTTTCTGAGCAGGCAGCTTGCAAGGGTAGGTGGTACCCAAGGCCACTTACAGTCCTGCAGCCTGTCTCCCCACTCTATTCTCCCAGCACAGTGGGTGAGGGGCATCTCTTGCTTTGATGGAAAAAAGGCCATCAGCTCAGCCTGTCCTCTCCCAGCCCCCATGGCAACCCCAGATTCCCAGGGTCCAGGCTGCTAGGAGATGTCGCAGCTGTTGGGGAGATAATTCAAAACAGTCAGACAAAAAGATAGATCCAGGAAGCACCTGTGGCTGAGGATGGTTTTTATTGTTGGAGCCTACTCAGCGTCCCCACCCCCACTTGCTCCCTGTGCAGGAGACGAGGCTGAGAACCCGCAGAGCAGAGCCCGTGGGGGTGCAGTGGGGGACTCCTCCATTAAGGCCTGGTTTCCAAGATGAATAGGAGGCTCCCCAGCCTCAGAGCCTGCCAGCCTTCTCTGCCCTGGCCAGGCCACACACAATGAGCTTTTAGGAAAGACCTTCAGGGATGTGCCGGGAGGGGGAGGCAAGGGGAGAGGAGGGAACTTGAGGAATGTCTTGACCCTGAAACTACCTTGGATTCTCCACCTCTTAAGCAAGACTGCTGGCCTCCCGCCCCCACACAAACTGCTTTGTGCTGGGTTCAAATGGTTCCTGCAGGAAGAGCGATCTTTCAGGTTAATGCAGAAGATGCACTGGGGAGGAGGCTCAGTGCCAATGTTTAAAAGTTCCTCTAGGAGTGCCATGGAGCCAGGGAAGTCTGGCCTGCAGCTAGGAGATCAGCAGCTCACATCTCTGAAGATCAAGGTCTCAGTCCTTCCAGAGCCCCCACTCCAACCTCCAGAGTTGGTATAAAGAGAAGTTAGGAGCTCAGGAGGCCCAGAGCCAGGCCGTCACTTACATGAGCTGAGTTTCCTACTGTAAGTGCCTTCACCTCTCTGGGTTCTTTCACTTATCAAGATGGGGACACACAGTTCCTCCACTGCGAGGTTGTTGTGAAGATAACAAGTTAGGAGTTAGAAGAAGCCCTTAGAGCTCGGTACAGAGTAAGCAGCCATTAGTGACCTGTTGTGACTATTCAAGTTTTTTTCGGTCCCTGGGTCTTATAACCTTAAGGACAGGGTTATAACCTTAAGTCATGCTGTGGTCCCCCTTGCAGGTTGGTGAAGAAGGTTTTTGTGTAATGGATAGAGAGTGAGATTCACTGAACCCTGAGTTTGAGCATCCTGACATTGACCTCGGGGACTGCATGGGATCTAAAACCTGACTCTTTCCTGGTGCTGATGCTGAGGACCCATAGACAGACTGAGCTGATCCCTGTCCTTGGGCAGCTCCTGAACTTGGTGTTGGGGATAGGGCAGGAAACAGGGGACAGGAAGAGTAGATGGGGAACAGTGGTTCCATGAGCACAGTGAGTGTGCCTGGCACAAAAGTCAGGGGTGATGGGTGGGTGTGTCCTGGCAGGAAAACCAGAGGCAGCAATGGAGAGGGTGCAGGCAGGAAGGTGTGGATCAGGTGAGGGCATGATAGCAGGGCTGCCAAGGAATGGGGCTAAATGCAGGGAAGAGGCCAGGCTGTGGCTTGTCCTCCCATAGCACCATGGAGATTTAGGGCTGGGACATCCACCAAATCCTCCAATCCCCATCCAATTTACCAGTGTTTCAATTCCAAGCCTATAGCAAATCCTAGTGCTACCCACTAAAATTCCCTAGTGGGATTTGCAAAATCCCACTGCTAAATCTGGTCCCACTGTGACCTGCCATTAAGATTGGATACCAGGCCCCTTTCTGCTTTCCTACCTGCAGTCCTGCCTCCAGTTGTAGGTGCCTGGTCCAGTTGGTCCCCAGGAGGCACTATTATAATATTATTATTTTTTTTCCCAAAACTCTACCCTCAAGCCTTGAGCAGGAAGGCAGGGGTAGCCAGCCATGAAGCATGTGTTCAGGCATGGCCTGTGACAGGCAGCTGCAAGCCAGCCAGTCCCAAGATGCTCTAGGCCCCTGTTGCTTACCTGTGGATGGCCTGCCCTGCAGGAGTATGGTCCACCTCCAGCCCTGCCTGCCGCAGGACATCAATGACAGTGTTGTTCCCTAGAAAGTGACCTAAAACATAAGACACAAAGCAGGCTCAGTCACATGTCAGGTTGCCTGTCAGTGGAGACAGGTTTGGGACATTCCCAGCGTTTGTGTTTGGACCAGTGAGCTGCACCAGTCAAGGCCCTAGACTCCAAAAGGCAATATGACCCCCTGGGTAAGATGTGGCCCTGCTGTCACCCTATCTGGGTTCCTATTCTGGCTCTGCTGCTCACAGCTATGATTAAATCCCCAGTTTCCTCATTTGTAAAGTGGGAATGATTGGGATGTTGGTTGTGAAGGTTATAGAGAGCAATGGTGGGCACATGGTAAGGGCTCCAAGAGCTTCCTGTTGCATTATTGTGCCTCCTGCCACTAAGTCGACCCCAGCCACTGACTGTCCAGGCTGGGGAATCTCCAGCAGTCACATAAACCCAGCTCCAAGAAACTCTCCAGCCCCAGCAGGCCTACAGCTCATCTTTGTAAGTTCTCACTTGTGCCTCCTCCTACAGCCTGGGGGTAGGGTCCTCTGCGTCCTTGTGGGTCTCCTGGACAGGTCCCTAAGGACAGAGACTACATCACCATTGCCTAGTGCCAACTCAACCCACACTGTTAGGGTTTGAACATCATAGATTCATTTGTTTATCATCTACCCAACATTTCTGGAGCACACACAGTGACTAATATCCTGGGATGGCCATTGAGGTCTCAGAACCCTGTGGGGGAGCCCAGTGAAGCCTGCTAATTGCAGGGTCCAGCAGGCACAGAAAGTGGCCTAGAAGAGGTACGAACACAGAAGGATCCCTCCAGAGGTGGTGTCAGAAGTGTGTGTGGTGGGGAGGGGAGCTGTCTTCTTCAACACCCCCTCCATTATTCATTTCTTCAGCAAACATTTATGATGCCCTTACCCTGTGACCTGCTCTGTACCAGGCACTGTGAATATACAAATGGAGAACTTAGTGTAAATCTGCAGGAGAGAGAGGGGAAATGTCTCTCTCTCTCTCTCTTTTTTTTTTTTTTAATGCAGGCATGAAGTCTGAGAACTCAGGGGAAGCCTTTCCCAGGTTCAGGTTAGGGACAATCCTCAAAAGGCCAAATGACTGTGAAAGCAGGGGCTGCTGGGAGTCAGCATCCTGCAATGCCCCTCTGCTTCCGGGTCCTCAGACTCCCTCCTACTCAATGTGTGCGTTGGCTGGGTGCTTGCCCAGGGCCCTGGCCCCTCCCACTGTGAGTCAGTCTTGTGAGGCCGCTCTCCTGAGCAGCACTCCCCGCTCCTGCTCACCTTTCATCCCAGACCTGGGGGGATATCTCTGCCCTCTGACTCTGATTGCCTGTGATGGGTGGTGACAGGTGGGAAGCAGGAAGGTCAGTATGCTGACAGCCCCAGGGAGGTGGAGGAGGACACAGAATGGACAAGCTGGCAGGAAATGGACAGGCTTCCCGTGCAGATGAAGCCTGGCTGGGCCTGTGCAATAGCTGGAGCAGAGGGGCCTGTCCTACAGCCCCGTGGCCTGCCAGACTCCTCTCCTCTCCCAGGTTGCCCATCGCCCACAGTCCCTGCAGTCCCACCTGGGGATCATGGGAAAGAACACTGGACTAGGAAGGCCAGATGTTATGGAACAGCATCCCCTCCGCTGAAACCCTGGGCACACCCAGTACCCTCCCATTCTTCAGGCGGAGAGGGTTTATACTTCATGGTGTCCATGGCTCCTCTAGCTCAGTCTGTACAGAGGTGTTTGTTTGACTTGAGACCATTATGGAAAGACATTCCCATCCCTCCCACTCCCTACCAATTTATTCCATTTGCTTAGCCAACACTGAATGCTATCTTGCACTGGACAGTGGTGTCTAGGCAGGAGCCGTTCCAGGTAGTTTTCCTTGAAAATGGGGCTCTTGTGATTGGAGTACTAAGCATGATGCAGACAGACACATGACAGCTGGTGTGGGTACACGGGAGACATCCAAGTCAGCTTGGGAGTAGGGGGGACTTCTGGGGGGTAGCTTAGGCAACACGGTGAGTATGGGAGTAGAGTGGTACTTGGGAAAGGATGGCATGTGCAGAGGCTAGGATGGGAGTGGGGTGTGTGGGGGAAGCTAACTACAAAAGAGACCTGGAGATCAAAGACATGAACAGGCCCTTCTGGAGCTCTGGCCCTGACTTATGCTGTTGAGAACAGAAGACCTACGCTCTTGCCAAGCTCTGAGTCTCCTCCTCAGTCCATGGTCCTGGACAAGTGGCTTCTCTTTGACCAGCCTCCATTTTCCCATATACCAGATGAATCCATAGCACTTTGGCTCCTTGGGGAAAGTGATAAAGCTCTAATGAGGTAGGAGTGGACATCTTTTGGAAAGGCCAGAGCTCTCATGAATGATGGATGAGCTGACAGTTCTGGCTAGTCCAGAAGCTTCCATCTTCTGGCTTGCTCTGTGGCATGGGTGGGCTAGAAGGGCACAGGCAGTGATGGCCTGCAGTATCCTGGCTTCACACCTCTGTCAGAAGCCCCTGGACTCTGTTCCTGGCAAAAGAGGGAATCCCTCTGCCTCCATGGAGACCTGAGTTTAAAGATAAGGGCCTCATGGTCCAATACTGGTCTCTGTGTCTGCCCAGAGGATTTCAAGAGAAGCCAGGGAGGGCAGCATGCATCAGGCTGCAGTGGAGCAGCAGCAGCAAGTATCTGCTGACTGCTGGAGGCTTGGGGCTGGGAAGAGGAGGAATTCAGAGGGGCCTAGGCCTCAGCATGGCCCCAACACAGACCTGACCACAAGGGCCTCTCAGGACACCACTGGATCCTGAGCACTGTGTGGCAGTGTTTCCCAGATCTGGTTGGTGCTTCCCTGTGTCAGACCACTGCTGTTCTAAACAGAAGACTTGTGATATCTGGAGAAGATGGCAGCAATCAGGGGAGATCCTGATCTTTTGAAATTCTCATCCTCTCCTGCTGTAAGCCGCATCTGCTCCTCCCTTGCTCTGGGGGTGGAGAATGGTGTCCTCCCTCTGCTCCTTGTATACCTCCAGGTGCGCCACGCCATGTGGTCTGCGTGGTCACGCACACCCAGCCTGTGCTCCCCCCATCCCTCCCTCTCTGGGGCTTGACCTCACAGGACCCCACAGTTGGGCTGATGAAAGCTGCACTCTCCAGGTCCCTGGCCCCTCTCCTGCCCTGTGCATTCCTCACCACCCCACATGGCTCTGGCTGTGTTCCTCGTGGGCTTTTTCCTCCTGCCTAATAATGCCAGGGCACTTGGGGTCCTGCTCTTGGTTTCTTTGCTCTTCATTCCGCTCACTCCAGGGACAAGTCATCCACCCTGCCAGGTTCAATTACCACACAATGCTGATGACTCTGGAATTGTCTCCCTGGCCCAGACTCATCTGTCCAGCCACCTGTGGACAGCTCACATAATGCTCCTCAGCACCTACCAACCAAGCTTGCCCTGCTTTCCAGAAAAGTCCTCCCCAGCCAAGCTGAACCACCCTGTGTGGACTCCTTTACCTCCTCATCCTCCTTCAGTCACCAATGACCTCTGTCTGATGTTTCCTCTCAAACACATGGGACTGCCCCTGCCACTACCACCTGCTGCCTGAGCCTCTGCAGAAACCATCCTGTTCTCCTTGGTCCCCTCTCCCTACCGCTGCTACACTGACCTTCCCATACCCTAGAGCTGACTGTCAGAACAACAGCTCCCAAAGAGCCACTTGAAGGGGGGACGGCAGTGACTCCATGAACGTTTGTGAGTGAATGAGGGACAAAACCTGTTACTCCACATCCTTTCCGTGATCTCATCCTACCCCACGAGACCCGAGTCCCCTCCATTCATCCCCTGCCTTGTCTCTTGGTGATACTTCTCCACATTCCACCAACCTCGGGAGCTTCGCCCTCTGCACCAACCCTTGAGCCAGGGTTTAGCATGTGTTGTCCCCAGGGGCTGGCAGACAGGGCTGAAGCTTGTCTTTTGGGTCAGAAATCCTGAAAAATGTACCACACCCATTCTGGAACCTGCAGGGAAGGTTGTGGAAAGTTTCCAAAAGGGCCTCATGGAGTTTGGACTCGGCCTGCCTGGCCTGCGCTCCCTGGGTCTCCTGGCTGCTGCCCAGCAGCTTAGCCCTTCAGCACTGGCTTCCAGCTGTCCTCTGGCCAGCTCTCTGCAGGAAGCCTCCTCCATATCATCCACAGAGGCATGGGTGAGCAGAGGAGGAGGGAGGGAGGGTCGTGATGGGTGGGGCACACAGACCTGCAGCGACAAAGAGAAGGAGGTAGAGAGAAGAGCAGTGAGAGTCTCAGAGAGGGACATGCAAGAGGAGGAGAGCTCCAGTTCCTGTGGGAACGGATAGAAGGACAAAGAGGAGAAGTGGAGAGACAGAGAGTAAGAGACTGAGACCATGTAGGGAGAGAGAAAGGGAGAGACACCAAGACAAAGAGAGAAAGAGATGGAGACAAGGACTAGATAATGAGATCTGGAATACAGAGAAGCCAGAGAAGGAGAACAAGGGAAAAGGGAAGAGACCAGAAAGAGAATCCAGAAGCCGAAGGCCTGGAGGGAGACCACAGGTCTTCAGATTGATGGGGGTAGGTGGGCGCTTGCCTCTCCTGAAATAAGCCAGGGCCCCACTTAAAGAATACTTATACACAACAGGACAAGGTACACTGCTCAGAGGGACCAGCCCTGTGATATTTCTAAGCAGAGAAAAAGGCTCCCTTTCTTCTGCGTGCAAGTGGGGCTGTGCACTCTGTGGAGAGGAGTCCACACAGGGTGGTTCAGCTTGGCTAGTGGGGCACAGGCTGGGGGAGCAGAGCACAGGCCAGATCTAGCTGATCAGCCGGATAGTACCAAATGTTCTGCTGATGCAGGAAGGCTGGTAGGACAGGGCCTATCAGAAAGCCCAGCTCATCAACTGACCGTGTGACCTTGGGCAGTTTCCTCTCCATTCTTGGGGCTGTTTCCCCACATAGGGTCCCAAGGTCTCCTGAGTCCTCCCACCCCTGTACTCCCATTACAGGTGACCTGAACACACACACTCATACTTCACGAAG